TCTTGGGAAGCTGTGTTCTTCCACATGTGTGTAATATTACTGGATCACTGATGAAGAATTTCCAACAGAGCAAACTCCAGAAGCCAAGGTCCAGTGGATGTGGGAATGTTAGCATGGAGACAGCCTTGTGGAAAGGAAAAGCAACGGAGCATCCAGGAACCCACATCCTGTCTCGGGGCTGCCACTGCCAGCCTGGGAGTGTGACTGGAGGCCTGCTCCTTAGTAAAACGATGAGGCTGTACAGGTTGACGTCTAAGGCAGGCAAGGAACACCCCCACAGAGACAGCTGCTGGCTTCCAGCTTCTCTACAATGTGGGCCTGCACTTCTGCTTTCAAAGCTCCAGGAGAGAAATCAGAGCACCAAGAACCCCAGGAGGGGAGGGATCACCTTATGAACGCCCATGGTGTCAGGGTGCAATGCTCACTCGGCCCTTTGAGGGCAGGAAAAAAGCTGGCATCCACGGGAAGGAGACTGGCCCTTCTCATGCAGGCAGGCCCTTTGGGATCTCAGCCAGATGTTTGATTCAGCTGGAGTGCAGGAAGTATCGCTGATAAATATATTTATCACTGTTAATAAAACACGGCACATGACCAAGTGCAGAACTGAAACTCGGGTGGCCAAGCAAGCAAGGGCGTCCTCACAGAGAAGGAAAAGTTCGTGTGAAGGCAGGGGTGTTGGACAGGGACGCACCCACCCGTGCTGACGATGTCATTTTGGTGCGCTCTGCCCCAGCCTCCTCCCTCAGCCCTTAGTTATGCTTGCACTTCTGCCTCAGATGCCATATCTTGCTCTGGGATACAAGACCTGACAAGCTTTTCTCCCATATTAGGTGATTTCCGAAACCCCAATTCTATTGTGGATGGACAGTGTGGTACAATGAGGGCTTGGGGTTTCCTTTTTCACCACCTCTTAAGTTCATACATCTCTTTCAGTGCCTTGCTGTTCCAAACTCCCCGAAAGCAGCACCTGGATCAGCCTTCCTTTCCCTCCTCAGTTCCTCTAGCAGAGTCGGGTTAAAGGTAAACAGCTACAACGTCCAAAGCCGAGAGTGAAGCCAAATCCACTTCATGACTGACTGCTGCTCTGACAGTTCAGACACGAAGTCATCGACAGAACCATCTCCAAGGGCTTCTGCCCCCACAGCTGGCATCAGGAAAACAGAAAAACCTTTTCTTTTTGATCCATTTATTTGATTGGAAAGGCAGATGAACAGAGAGAAGGAGAGACAAAAAGATCTACCATCCACTGATCCACTCCTTAAATGGCTGGCAGCAGCTGAGCTGATATGAAGTTAGGAGCCTGGAGCTTCCTCTGGGTCTCCCATGTGCGTGTACGGGCCCAACCACTTGGGTCAGCCTTTGCTGCTGTCCCAGGCTATCAGCAGGAGCTGGAACAGAAATGCAGCAGCCATGGAAGGTGAGCACCTCAGGAAGGGGCTTTGTTTGCTATGTCACTGCACTGGTCCAAGAATGAACAATCTTGATTTCAATTGAGAACCATTGTTTAAGGGATTCCAACAGTCTCTAAATGATAACTAAAATCAACATGATTTTACAGGATTAATAAATGAATAAAGAAGGTTTTTCTTTTTCTTTTTAAATATAGGCTAAACTGGACCACTTCTTTTCTGGATTCCAATCAAACCTCCAATTGGCAGTGAGTTTACATTAGAGTCTGGCAGAATTTCACTTCCTGTGACAAACTGGGGCAGGCATTTGGAGCAGCGCTGTGATGGCGCTTGCGGATACCCACTTCCCACACTGGAGTGCCGGGGTTCCAGTTCTGGCTCTGCCCTGTGCACCTCAGCAGGTGACGGCTGCAGGACTCACAGTCTTTGGGGATACCCACTTCCCACACTGGAGTGCCGGGGTTCCAGGTCTGGCTCTGCCCTGTGCACCTCGGCAGGTGACGGCTGCAGGACTCACTGTCCTTGCTGCCCATGCAGGAGGCCGGGGTGCAGAGATCCCCACGTTATCTGGCCCAGAGCACCATGTAGAGTCAGCCAGGGAGTGGGAGACTGCTTTCTTTCTCTGTCTCCTTCTCTCCCTTCTCTCTTCCTTCCTCTCTCCTTCTCTCTCTCTCTCTCTCTCTCTCTCACACACACACACACACACACACACACACACACACACTCCCCAACTCAGAGAGAAATCAAAAACAAACCACGGGCAAACCATGGGCAAAATAAGAAAGTAGACAAGACCGTACTGAGCTGCAGTGCCAGGTCACTCAGAGCGGCACACATGTTTTTCTGGGGACAGCCTCCCTCGTAGCAGACAGACTAAGCCAGCATGCCGCCCTATGAAATCCACCTTCTCTGTGCAAAGGCCCATGACCGAGGTGTATTGCAAGCATGATCAGAGACGTATAGACACTGAAAACTCTAAGGAAACTAAAGCAGCAGACATCAAACACCATGTGGAGTCGCAGAAGACACACGCTGCAGCCAGGGACGTTGCCAACCATTCCGGTGAGGATTCAGACCTGCTTCCTGTCAACTCCTCTCACTGGGCATCAGTGCTGCTCTTGCCACTGTGGTTCTCCCCGCTGACCAAGGACAGGTGGGAAGCACTGCCCATGCTCCCGGAACTTGAAAGCAGGACTCTCTGAAACCCATACTTCCCAGGGTGGATCCAACACACCGAGCCGGATGGAGCCCCTTACAGAGGGTTTTGGAAACAGGATGAAGTCAATGTTTAGAGAGGCCTGCCAAACTTCAGCCTGGGACCGTTTTGTTAACTCTAATTGACCAATCCTGCAATGAATTCGTTCAGGAAATTCTTTGTGATGGCTTCTGGGCAGGCAACCACAGCAATGGCACACCTCTTCTCCCTCACTCCCCAGAGACCAGAGAAGATGATGGTCATGTCCAAGTTGAAAAACAAGATCTGTACCGACCGAAGCCTGACCTGCCCACTCCACCCTGCAGTGTCGGGACGAGAGTGAACTCCCTTCCCGCCAGCCCAGCCAGGCCTGGGCCAGAAAGCCATGACTGTTAGAAAGAAAGCAAAGAGGAAAGCCACAGTGCCTTCATTATACTGTTACATCGGAGCCACCTTTTCCTATAAGCGTCTTACTGTTTTCTCTGGGTTTAACGGCCACGCGGGTGCCAAGTTGCCCCACTTCAGCAGAGAGTACATCCTGTGGTATATGTTCAGCCAGCAGTGGCATGCACTGGTCCAGAGGTGGGCTATGAGGGGCCCTTCCGAAGGGACGGTCGGGGAGTGGGATCAGGGCCACTGGCCCTTGGTTTCTGGAGTGGTGTTGATTTCCTTTTTTCAGGGCCATACCGCAGGATGGCATGAAGGAAGCTGCTCACGCTCAGACACCTTCCACCTGGTCAGGGTCCCCCCACAGGATCAACAGTGCAGGTGTGTCAGGGGGTCATATCCCCACACACAGGGTCAACAGAGCAGGTGTGTCAGAGGGTCATATCCCCTCACACAGGGTCAACAGTGCAGGTGTGTCAGGGGGTCATATCCCCTCACACAGGGTCAACAGTGCAGGTGTGTCAGGGAGTCATAGCCCCACACACAGGGTCAACAGTGCAGGTGTGTCAGAGGGTCATAGCCCCACACAGGGTCAACAGTGCAGGTGTGTCAGGGGGTCATAGCCCCACACACAGGGTCAACAGTGTAGGTGTGTCAGGGGAAACAGTACGGATGAGCTCACACTGTAGACACCCTTTCTGTTGGACACAGCCCACTGAGCTGCGACAGCAGCCTCTCAGAACCCAGACCTGTTCCAGACACACAGTGGGGCTCGACCACCTGAATCTGTCACCGGCCCACAGGAGAAGCTTCTTGAGTTGCAGAAGCTTTGAGGCTGCAGAGTCAACTCTCCAGATTCACATTGGTGGCACAGGTAAGTAAGGCGGGCTGGCACGGCACTCTCACACTATCAGGTCCGAGGAAGGCAGTGAGATCCAGAGAGACTTCTCTAAGGCTGTTGGCGGGATAGGGCCCCCATCCCATGAGGAAAGAACAATGGCCTTTACCCGGCTACAGTGAACAGCCCAGGTATTGAAGATCTAGCATCTGCTGGAAGTAAGTCTACTACCAACTTACCTCCTTCGTGTTCCTTTCCCTGCCCTAACGGCGGAGTCAGCCAGGCTGGGTAATGCAGACCCCGTGGTACCGGACAGAGAGGCACCCAACCGTGAGAACCAGCAAGCCTGGACAGAGTGCATGCTGGGGACAGCTCCTGCAGCCTGCACAGAGATTGGGGTGCCACCCTTCTCCAGGGAGGCTAGCTGAGTGAGGACGCCAGCTGGCAGGCTTCACAGCCAGCGCTGTGGTTAACAACAGGGCCGTCTTCCAGCCAGGAGGCTCTGAGGCATCAGGCTTACAGATGGTGGCACAAGAGAAAGGGGGCGGTCAAGGGCCGGTGCCTGTGATTGGGTTCTGAAAATCATCTATTTTTTCTTACAGTACACAACAACTAAGAAGACATTTCTGACATCTTCCCCCTTTGCCCCCCCCCCCAACACATACTTAAATTTTGTCATTGGAACCCAAACAGTGAGGCATACTGTGAACAAGGACCAACGCTAGCCAGCTCTGCAGTCCATAGATGAAACCACACAGCCAAGTCCCATCCCGCCCGGGGAAGCGCAGGGTTTAGCACTGACACCCGCACACAGCAGCCTGGGACCACTCTGGCAAAGCTGGACCAGAACCTGTTCAGTCCAGCGTTCCCAGATCCTGGTGCTCCTTGCACCCGGCCTACTGGCAGCACCCACTGGTTTCCCTGGACTCTTGGCCTCGCTCCCTCCCAGTATGGAGTGCTGGGGAGGCACCAAAGCCCCCGATTCCGCCCGCGGGCCAGGTAAACAAATGTCTGCTTCCCGACTCTGGCAGCACAGCACACTGCTGGAAGGAGGTAGGCTTCCCCTCCCGGAGGGAATCAACTCCCAGATAACAATATCCATGCGGGGAAAGAACGCCAGCCAGCAAGGAAGAAAGTTCACCTCGAGCCCTCTCCACCGAGCCCCCCTTACCTTCCTCATTCAAAATCCAGGGCAGAAACTCCAACACTGAATCAAAGCCACAAGTGTCCTCTTCAAAGGCGCAGGAACCCGCGGGCAGGTCCAGGGCACCGGCCAGCTGCAGGGCTGTGGGCGCAAAACCAGTTTCAGTTCAGACGCCCGGACGCGAGCGTTTGCACCCACTCGGGGCGTTCCACGAGTGTCCCCCCCACCCCGTGAAAGCGGGAGGAAAGCTCAAGGCAGAGGAATGCACTACCTCCCGCGGCACCCCAGGGCGCGACCCCATTCCCAACCAGCCCTGACTGGGCCAGGGGCAGAGGGTTAGGGGCTGCAGAGACGGCCAGGTTAAGCCCAGCTGGCAGTGCCAATGGGGGCAGCAAGGCCTGAGCGAGTCGTGAGCGCACCTTCCGGGGTCTCCCGAGTCCACCTTACCTTGCACCGCCAGGAGGACGGCCCTGAACAGCATGGTTACCATCGCAGGAGGAGGAGGGGAGGCACCAGGTGCGAGCCGCCAGCCCCCGGCCACCCACGGAACACTAAGCGTGGGGCGCGGGCGCGCGGCAAAGCGTGTGCGGCTGGCGGTTCCACTTGGCGCAGCGGCGCCGGGAGCCGAGCCGGACGCCCGAGGGGCGGGCAGCCGGGCTGGACCCGGGGCTGCAGCAGGGGGCCGGGCGGGGAGGAGACGTCTGCACACTTGGGAAGGGTCAGCGGCGCCTGGGATTTTAGAGCTTGGGAGCAGACCCTCTCAGGCTGCTGGAAGGGGCCGGCCTTGCCAAGCCTTGGTGCTGGAAGGACCTTAGGCCCCCGCCCCGCCCCTCGCGGTGGGAAACCAGCTTATTTCTGGGGTCAGCTTCCCCGCATCTGGCGAGTCAGTCCTGCACGACTGACCCTAATTTTAACTTCTTCGCTCTAGAATAGAGGGGGCAGGAATTCTCTTTAGGGCAGCCGAGAAGCAAATTTGGAAACGGTAGCGCGGACCCGGGCTTGAATTTCCCGGACCTCAGCTCCGATGGCCCCACCTCCCTAACTTTTTAGCCAGTGGAATGCCAGGCACGCCTGAGCCTCAGCGCCCTCTGAATCCCCCAAATGGACATATGCCCCTTCTCCAGAGGATCAGGAAGGATGGATGAGTGGCAGGGGACTCAGCTGGCACCCGGAGTGTACAGCGGGGCCAGGCGGGGGCGAGGTGGGGCGCGCCTGGGCGGGGGTTCCACGAAGACACCTGTTAGCTACAGGCTGGCTGAAGCGCTGAGCTCCCCACCAGCTCTGCAGGGAAGCGGCTTGACTCCGCCGTCCCGCTCACATTTGTGTCCTCCAGCTTGAGGCCCCGCCCTCAGAGGCCCCAGGACCTGGGGTGCTGTACAAAAGCCTGGCTCCTGTACCCCTGCTTTTCCTTTATCCTTTTCTTTTTATTTGAAAGGCAGATTTACAGACAAGGAGAGACAGAGTGGTCTCTTCCATCTACTGATTCATTCCTTAAATGTACACACATCTACTATCCCTATTTCTACTAAGGATAAAGTTAACTGTAGTCCTTTGTAAAAAAAAAAAAAGTTTGGCCAAATTTTCATGAGTTTTCTGTAGACAGTGACTCAAATAATTAAGACTTTTTAGTGTGTACTCCGCAGTGTATGTGTGTGTTCATATATATATATATATATATATTGCTTCAAGCAGTAGCTAATGAAAAGGAATATTTACTAAGTGTACTGGAATATGGGTTTCACATAAACTCATCTGACTTTGAGAAAAACCCTGTGGGGGAGAGATCTTTATTGCTCCCATTTCACAGATAGTGAAACTGAGTCTTAGAGCTCAGGGGCAGCAAGGAGCAGAGGCAGATCTCAAACCCAGGTCCGCTTTACTCCAAAAGCCCATTTTCTCGGTAAAGTAGACTGTTCCCCTTATGTTATATGGTTTCTTGCTCTCCGAAGGTGTGTGACAGCTGATGGATTTAATTAAAAATTCAAAGACAGATATGAAACCACTGCAAAGTTCAGGATGCTGTTTCAGCCCAGTAACTTTCAGGTTATCTGACTTTCGGCTATCCACCTGCCACTTGCTTTTCCAGGCCACTACAGAGGATTTCAGAATGTCAGCATTGCCTTGGGTGCATCCCACACCACCCTCCTCCAAGCGTGAGAAAATGAACAACCTCAAAGCCCTAGAGAGATTCAAACAGGATCTGAAACTTTAAGGTGACATCTCAGAGAGAATGATCCTGTGCTTGGCGGGAATAAAACTTCTGCTGAGCATACAGGTAGGCACATGGTCCCTAGGGTGTAGGGTGGGGTGCCTGGTATGCAGCAGGGGAACTGGAAGTGCCAATGGCTTCAACACCAATGGAAATGGCAGAAGAGAAGCAAGACTGGGGCAAGCAAGAAACGAAGCTGTGACGTGGGCCTTGCAAAGCTTCTTTAAACCCACAGAGAACCTGAGAGAGTTAGCCTTGGCTTTTCTCCTTTCTTCCACTGACCACCAGATGAGGCCTGAACTAAGACGGTGAATGAGAAGACACCAGGCGCTAAAGCTGATGCCAATTCCCCCAGAAGCTGGGACCACACGCCCTTCCTTGAACGGAAATCTGGCCAACACAAGGCTGTCCACTGTACAGATTTTGCAGAGGAAGGAAAAGATGTTGCATAAGAATTATGTGAGTGAGAGAGCCTAGGAGAGGATTCAGAGAACATACGAGTTCTGTGTGGGAACAGGCATCCTCCAGTCTTTAATCAAGGAGCCCACATCACCTAGGACTATAGGATCAGATGCCAAGGAAGCTAGAACTCCATCCGCCAAGATTAGGTTGAATGCCGTGAGTTCTGGCTTATAGAAAGCCTTGTAATGGTGTACCTCTTCTAGACTCCGAGAACGTGAACCTGTGAATGCAATCTTACTTGGGAAACAGGGACTGTGCTGATGTAAGAAACATGTAGGAGAAGGTCAGATGAAGACGGAGGCAGAGCTTGGAGTGACGTAATTCCAGGCCCAGCAACACCAGGAACCACCCAGAGCCTGAAGAGGTAACTGAAAGAGTCTGTTGGAACTTTCGTCGGGGTCTCTGGTTCCAGAGCTGTGGGGGAATCACTTCCTGTTTGCAGGAGTCACAGGACACTGACCCCAAGAGCATCATGCATTAAGCAAGCGTGTGCCACACTCCTCCTGTACATGAGCTCACTTCATCATTATGGTGCTCACTTTATAGATGACACAGACCGAGGGGTTGATCAGTCTGCTGGGAATTGCGTGTGCAGCCAACCCGTGGCCAGGAGTCGATCTCAGAGCCCAGCTCTGCTGGCTGCACAGTACACTGTCTTAGAAGCTTCCCGGTCACCAAGCTTGGCTCTCCGTCCAAGGGCTGCCTACACCACGGGCAGAAGAGTACTAGCCCCGTTGGTCAGCCCCCGTCCGAAGCTCTCCTCTCCCAGAGCCCGCCCGTCCTTACTTGTCTGGGACTCTGCTCCTGGGAGGCATCCTCAACCACAGCTGTGTGTTACGACGCACCACCTTCGGCCTGGAGAGCTCCAAAGTCCTGCTTCTCTTTGACTTTCTGGGTCAAAGAGAGGCGGCGAAACGCCAACGCTCCTTGCAGGAGCTGTCACTCTGCCTCTCCCGTGGTCAGACGAAGACATTAGAAAAAACGCATTCACCTATGGGAAGAAGGAAAACAAACCTCAAGTGCTTGCTATGTCACAGCTGCGAGGCCCAGTGCCTGCTCTCCCTTCTGTCTGCTCCTCACCCTTTCATGGTCTGAGGAGTTCAACACCCATTTCCTGAGCACCCACTGCCACCCAGGCATCGTACTTGGGCCTGGAAATCCATGGGGTACACAAGGCCCATTCTTTGCCCCTGGGACAGGAGAGTGACCCATGAGGAGCCACTTTTGATCAAATGTTTTGGTGACATTCCGAAAGGGCTGCAGACATCAAAAGACTAAGGGCCAGGGAAGGAACGTAAGTGAACGCCCAGGAACAGTGTGATGGAGACAACAGGGAGTTATGGGGACTTCATTGCATCAGAGCAAGCAAGCCCAGCTATATGGCATCCCTTGGACCAGCTCTACCCAATGCTCACTTCCCAAAAAGAAGGAAAGAAAAGAAAAAGCCAGCATCTTGATAGGTACACAATAGTTCCTGATTGTCAAGTGCTGGCAATGTGTTGACAGGATTTTTAAATCCCCATGAGAGTAGAGAAAAGCAAGAACTTTTGCACTATGGTTTGCAGCATTTAGAGCCAAGAGGGACTCTCACTGCCCGTCCCCTCTAGAGCAGGTGCCCACCTGTGTGGCCAGCTCCCTTCTCTAGGGAAAGAGTGGTAGAGAGGGCCTAAGTGGCTTTGCTCCAAAGCCCATGTCTCTAAGTGGCAGGGACAGGAGAAGCCCTGAGTCTGACAGTTAGGTGAGCTATGGAAAGGACACACTCTAGATCCTGCACAGATATGAGTGTGCTGATAATACTAACGACGTAGGCTAGGGTCATTAGCTACGGACACGCACACTCCATGATGCTTATATTGGTAATGAGGGCCCTTCAGAAAGTCCGTAAGCAATGTATTATGAGAAAATTATGCATGCATTTCAAAATTGTTCTGCGCCTAAATGAATTCACCTTCTAATTGTGTTCCCATAAAGTTTTTTGTGGATACCTCTGCCTACATCTGTTTCCCTCTTTGAAGGCCTGGGTCTCCTCTGTCCTCTGCCATGCTTGACTTTGACTTCGCATCTCCACCTCTGTTCGTTTTCTCGCGCCCATCCCTTCTACCTCTCCACCTGTCTGATGCACCTCTGCTGCTAGCTGTCACTTAAGGCTAGGCTGTTTTTAAAAATTGCTTGATATATTTATTGGAATCACGTTAGATGTTCACATCAGCACATAATGATTGATATGCTGACTTGTTGTTGCAAATGATTGCGTTTCTTCAGGAACATTTTAAGCATAGCTTTGTGTGAGTTTTACAAACATTTTAATTCTTTCGTTCAGAAATAAGGAAACAACAATGTGCATTACCACACTCAATGTCCCTGTTGTCTTGTTTTCACGTCCTCTCCTGTCCCTTTCTCTGCCTTTTTCTCCCTCTCTCTCTGGCTCCATATGCCCAACATGCCCTGCTAATTACACGCTAACATGTTGAATTGAGCTGGTCCAAGAATTCTGAGCCTCGTGGCCTGTCCCGCCAGTGACCTCTGCTGCATTCCTGCAGAAGGTGTCTGTGGGCTCTGCCCGAGGCAAGCACTGTCCCTTGGTGACTGTCCAGCACTGACTGCCTCTCACCCCCACCGGCCAATCACGTGCCCACTGCAGATCAGTGATGGACTGAAGCCCAGGATTAAAGCAAACATTCTGTCCACTGTGAATCTTGTCCCCGCCAGCCTTCCTGAATTCCAGTTTGGAGGCAGAAACCCTTAACTATGGCTTGAATGCAATCTTTTAAAAATCGAAGTTGCCTGGGCTGACTTGTTACAGTGATGGTTCCTCCATGTTCCACTCAGAGTCCCGGGTG